AATAGTACTTGTAGTAACAGTACTAGTGGTGATGGTCTCAGAATTTGTAGTCTGAGTAGTAGATAAGGAAGGACGCAGAGAACTCGTGGAGAAAACGCTTGTCGAAGGTGTAGTAGAAACTACAGCGCCACTGTGAATCCAGGTAACCTCAGTTAACTTTTCCAGGCTGATTATCTTGTCAGTCAATTGAATAGTTAGTGTCTGCCAGAAAAGAAGAGATAAAGTTGGTATTTTACAATATCTTAAAGATCACATTTACCTCACACTTAACAAAAAATGATGTATTCATTCTTTTCCCAGAGAGCAATAGAAGGATAGAAAGACTCCCTCTCCAGTCACACTGGTTCCAGACTGAAAATCGTGGGGAGACGCGCTGTGTGCATAATCCTTGTGTTGCAAATGTTTCCTCGTACTTCATTTAGTCAGAACCACACTGCTCGCAACTATTTGCAGCTTTGATTAAAACCAATGCTCATAAAAATCTCTTTGCTCTGCCACTAGATTGTAACCTCCCTGAGAGCATCCTGGTTTTATGTTTTCACCATCCCTGACACTTAGTAAGTATAACACCTGGCAATAGTAGTATAGTGCAAACCCTGATTTTGATTTTGATTTTGATCTTTTTGTAAAGCAAGTACCTGACTTAAGCTTTAACTGCCAGAGGTGTCCATTTCAAAGAGGCATCCAATTCAAGCCCATGGAGGTGCCTCTGCTTCCGTGATCTTAGTTGATTTCAACAGCTGACCATTTGGGCTTTTTGTTTGTTTTCTCTTCCCCTGCTTTAATTTCCCACTCTTACGTTTTAAATTCACCAATAAAGAGTGAGCCCTGGAAACCCTCAGCCTCCACCCTTGAGCCCAATAAAAGCAGAAGCCCCAGGCCCATCTCATGCTTGAGCTAGTTTTTCGGGGTTCTCTCTCTCTCTCTCTCTCTCTCTCTCTCTCTCCGCCCCCCCGCCGCTCCCCGATGACCTTATTGTGTAGTCCCATCAGTACTGTGTAATTTCCAGATCTTGTAAGATATAAATCTGTATCTCTTTTCAAATTTTCCTGATGGGTATTGTTGAAGGGCATCTTGCAATCACCATGAGAACCACGAGAGCTGGTCTGCCACAGTCTTGGTTATTAATAGGCTAAGACCAGCACAAAACAAAGATGTATCTGATATGCTACAAAGTTTTCCAACAAGGTATTCAAAGATTTTCCACATCAGTCTTAACTGTCAGTAATTACTTGCAAAGGGTGGTTTTGAATGCAATAGTTCAGGAAAAAAAAAAATCTGAAATAGACAACTAAAAGAGACTAGAGAGAGAGAATCTAATTGAGTGTTCAAGAGGGTCATTTTCCAAAATTCAAATACCAGCAGGACACTCTTTTCACCTTTTAGAGAACAGCAACTATACTTTTCCATTGTGACTTTTCTAAACCACCCGCAATGGGTTACTGGATCCATATTTGTGATAGATCTAGTGTTCCAAAGCGGGATGCCCTTCCCTCTGTGGTTGCTCTTGGTAACTCTACTGGTAATTTGCCTTCCAATTAGTTGGTTCTGGCAACTAAAGCAAACTCTACTGAAGGGTCTAGTGGGGCCTGCTACTTATGTCCCTCTGTTTTGTTAACCAAATTATTTTACCTCACATCATGGGTGGGGCGCATTGATTTTGATGAGGACCACAGTTTACTGCCATTTTTCACCAACCTGTAAGATCTATCTATTTGACCAGGGATATAAGCAATTTCAGGAAGGAGGGCAAAACTTCCAACAATGGTTTTATGGGATCCCTCTTTCCTTGTTTGAGGCTCTGCTGCAGGTGTAAATAAGTTTTCTTATGCTAGGCTGGGAGACCAACCTTAACACAGCACATGAAAAGGTCTTCATCAGACCACTGATCATTGATTGCAGTGTGCATTTTACAATATGATTCATCACTCGTGACTTTTCAGGAACATATCTATTGTGCATATCTATAACCTTTCAAATATAAGTAAATATAACAATGATAATAGTGGTGATAACTTTCCCAAATAATAAAATTAACTTATGATACAATAACATTCCTTTGAGACATACCTGATTGTAGGGGTCACTCTTGAAATTCATCTCCATGAATTGCTGGTTGTCATAGGTGACAGTGACTTGTGTCACATAAGTAGAGCTTGTCCCCCAGATTCTAATATATCCAACTTTCAGGGGATTCAAGTCATTCAAATACTTATTGTATATGGTCTGAATGTACAATGCATTCTGTAAAAGATGTATAAAGAGAAAATATACATAAGGATGGGCTACATTCCACATTGAAACGTTATAAAACCTCAAACTACTACTGTTGTACTGGTTCACTGTTTTATTCTTATACATTTCATGAACATGTGCTTTCTGAGAATCTGCTACAAGAAATTTGATGATGCTAAATATTGATGGTAGTTATCATACCGGATAGTGCAGCTCTAAAATATTCTCTCAATCTTGGGCACCATGTTTTAAGAGAAATCTACACTAATTGTAGTCCAAACAGAATAATCATACCCGGAAATCAGTTTAAGCACAAAACAGAGGAAGTGTGAGGTTAGCTTGAGGGTATATAATTTCAAGAAGAGAAGACAGAAGAGATATATGATAGACATCTTCAAATACTTGAAGCACTGTTATGTATAAAAGACAAATAGATTTGTGTTATACTATTCCTTAGTTCAAATCAATGGAAAAAATTATAGAGAAGCAGATTCAAGGTTTGACATAGAATGAGCCTTCCACTCTAATTCAAATTATATAGGTTATCCGTGGAATCACTAAACATGCACAGTGGATTGACTGCGTCACTGTCTCTAGGTATTCACTCCTCCATATCCATACCCCTTTCCCTGTAATTTTGCAATGCTTTCCCTCTCTGGATGGGCATTCTATCTCACTTTTGTGTCAGGACTTGGCCATGTGACTTTGCGTTGCTAATGGGATATTAGTCAACTTGATGCAAATGGAGATTTTAAAAAGTGCTCAGTTATTTCCACCTTTATTTTTCTCCACTTCCATAATCATGAAAAGATCATGCTCAGACCTATCCATAAGGCTGTCTAAGGTCATCTAACAGCCAGCTGACCTCCCAGATATGTGAGTGAGTATGGTCAGGATCACCCAAGCAGCCTAAGAGACCCATGCCTGATTGCAGATGCATGAGAGCCAGCCAAGATCAGCCAAGTCCAGCCCATATCGCCTGAACACTGCAAACTCATGAGCTAAATAAGTATTTTTTCTTACGTGCTGCTAAAGTTTTGAGGTTGTTTGTTATGTAGCACTGTTGTGCAACAGATAGCTGATCTAGCACTTACCTTTCAAAATTTTATCATCCAAAAAATGCTGTCTCATTACCAGAATGTTATACATTTAAGGACTCATTTTCCCCCCAGCATACATGAATCACAAGTTTCTTCTTGTAGAGTTATGGTATACAAGGTAATTGTCAAAATAAGGACTGTTTCTTATTTATTTTAATTAAGATGTGGGATATTACATTGATACAATTAACTGATAATGTTTAATCTGCAGCTTACTCGAAAAAGATTTATAAAATTAAAAAAACAAAAGTCATACCTGAGCTGCTGTAAACTTTGCCAAGAAATAGATGCCATTTTCATAGGTATCTGCAAGCCAAAAAAAAGAAAGAAAGAAAGAAAGAAAGAAAGAAAGAAAGAAAGAAAGAAAGAAAGAAAGAAAGAAAGAAAGAAAGAAAGAAAGAAACAAACAAACAAACAAACAAACAATAAGCAACCACTCATTACTTCAACTGTAGCAGATAATCTTCATAGAGTCAGAAAATGTCTCAATGGGATCACAATTAGTGATCGGGATAATTATGACTTCTCCAGGGAGCATGACAGAGAGCAGCTGAGGGAGTACTTTGTCCCAGGTTAGTGTAGAGATGTGCACATGGAGAAGGGTGTTTAGAGGTGCAAGACCAGAGGACCTGGGTTGGACTGAGGTCTTCTACCGCAGGAGAAGACGTGTGGAGGCTACTGATAGTTTTTTTCTTGCCCTGTGCCAACACAGCAAGCGCACAGCCATGAGAGTTCAGATAGCTATGATGCTAAAGGCTCAAAGCAGAGGAGTGTGGTCAGGATTCAGACTCTCAAGTCAGATTGACATGGATTCAAATCTCCGCTCTTGTACTCAGTAGCTGTGCAAACTCAGGCAAGTTACTTAATATTATGTTCTAAGTCTGTTTGGTGAAGAGGGACAAAGTACTTCTCTATGGAAGTTAAAAAGTGAAAAAAATTTAAAACTTTCAGGGACCATTGATTTTTTAACCTTGAGACTGAAATACATTTGTTGTAGAAGCCTAAAGTTTTGTAGAAAATTCATTTTTTCTCATAGATTTTTGAAATATATTGCTCTTAAGGGGCTGATTTTGCGTATCAACTGTGCGTTATTAACCCACTATGACATCCCATCAATCATCTAGTCCTAATTAGCTCAAGCTGTATAAAAGGACTCTAGATGCCCATAAAACACTGGTTCTCAACCGGCAGTGATTTTTCTGGTGGAACATTTGGCAATCTCTAGAGACACATGTGGTTGTTATATCTTGGGGTTGGGGGAAGTGCTTTTGGCATCTAATGGGTAGAGGGTGGGGGTGATACGAAACATCTTATCATTAACAGCCCAGTTACCACTGCAACAAGGAATGATCTAGCTCAATATGTCAAAACTACCAAGGTTGAGGAAACCTGTTTTAAAAAAGGCATTTTCTTGAAAAAGAGAAAGAAAGTTGGAAGACTCTTACTTCTTGATTTCGAAACCTATGTCAAAGCAACTGTAATCAAGAGAGGTGGTAGTGGCATAAGAATGAATGATTATTTAAAATATGAAGATATATATTTTCATATGAGAAGGTTTTTTTCTGTGTTCTCAGTTAACACTTTCACATTTAAAGTAAATTGATGTTCAACAAGGGTGCCAAAACAATTCAATGGTGAAAGATTAATCTTTTCACAAAATGTACTGGTATTACTGGATATCCATATGCAAAAGAATAAAGTTGGATCTCACGCCATATTCAAAAATTCACTCAAAATTGCTCAAAGACCTAAATATAAGAGCTTAAACTATGAAAATTTAGGATAAAAAAAAAACAGGGTAAATCTTTGTGACCTTAGATCTGGCAACTTTTTTTTAGTATAATATAAAAAGAACAAGCAAAAAAATAAATAAATTTGACTTCATCGAAATGAAGAACTTTGGGGCTTCAAATGGATACTATTGATAACAAAGAAAACATACTGAATGGGAGAAAATTTTGTAAATCATATATCCGATAAAGAACATATCTAGATTATTTAAAGAACACTTACATTTCAGTATCAAAAAGACCCTCTAGTTTAAAAATTGACACAGGATATGAATACATATTTCCCCAAAGAAGATATACAAGTGGCCAGCAAGTACACGAAAAGATGCTCAATGGCATTAGTTATCAGGGAAATGCAAATCAATTGAAACCGCAGTGAGATATTACTTCACACCCACTAGGAAGACTATATTCGAAAAGACAGATAATAACGAGGTGAAATGTAAAATGGTGTAGCCTCTTTGTGAAAGAATCTGGAAGTTCCCCAAAACATTAAACATGGTTGTCATATAACCCAGAAATTCTACTCCTAGGTATGTACCCAAGAGAATTGAAAAAATATTTCTATACAAAAACTTGTACAGAGATGTTCATGTTAGTGAACAAATAGAAACAACCCAAACATCTATCAACTGATGAATGGATATGTGAAATGTGGTATACACATACAATGGAATATTATTCAGCCATAAAAAATAAAAAATGAAGTACAAATCTATGCTACAATATGGTGGAACCTGGAATACATTATGCTAAGTGAAAGAAGCCAGTCAGAACAGATCACATTTATTTTATTTATGTGACTCTACATGATTCCCTTTATATGAAATGTTCATTATATAGAGATATGCAGCAACAGAAAGTAGATTAGGGAATGCCTAGGGCTGTGTTTCCTAGGGCTAGAGAGAATGGTGGGTGTTGGGGAGGAGGGGGAGGAGATATCTAAGAAGGTACAGGACTTATTTTAGGGAAGAAGAAATTGTTCTAAAATGGACTGTGTCATGGTTACACCACTGAAATCAGTGAATTGTATCTCTAAGTGAGTGAATTACATGGTGTGTGAATTACATCTTAATAAAGCTATTACAAAAAAAGTTAAAGTCAAGCCCAAGAAGTAAAGGAAAAACAGAAGGCATTTCTTTCTCATAAAAATGTACTTTCCAAAAACAATTTCTACCGATTAATCTTTAAATCCAACGTACGACTTCTGTTTGTCGTAATCCGCCAAGGTCTACCAGCCCACTCCTCACCAGCCTTTCAATCATCACATTTCCAGAATCTGTGCTGTCACGGGAGAGCCCACGGACAGCTCGGACTCTCGTTATCTCTCACCGTTCTCTAAACTGGCTTTATCGCCCATGTTCCATGCCATTATGATGGAATTACTTCCTGCCTAATCACCCCAGTATATATGTGGCATGACCTGACAGTGCAAATAGTCTGCAGTCACCTTGGCAAGAGTGTCACTGAAGTGATAATAGTATTCACTACCTCGTCATGGCCACTAACTCCTTTTGCTATAATTTCTTGTTCACCAAACAAATCCCTGATTGAAATTTCATCTTTTACACAGATTTAATTGAAGGAAAATATGTACTTCCCAATAGATAGGAACATTCTAGCCCATTAGTCAAAAATAGTTCTTAAATTTAAAAATTGGTATTGTGGCATATTATTCTCTTACTAGGTTGAAGTCCTGCTACTTCCTTAAACCTGGTTCAGGTGACTGTTAATTCCCTTTCTCTGGCTTTTGGACTTCCTGTTGTCATGTTCACCACACTGATGTAAACGTAAAACATCTTAAAGGCTTATAATGGAGTTTTATTTATCTTGCACATTAAGCATACATTTTATTAAGTATCCATGTGCCAGAAATTCTCTCTATATATTAAATCATGTTATCTGCCTCTGTAATGAAGCCTCCATGTGCCTTATAAAAACATTCCATGATCCTATTGTGGCTGTGGCTATACAACTATATACATTGTCAAAACTTATGGAACTGTGTATTTTAAATGGATATGTTTTATTTATGTAACTATAACTCTATAAAGTTGATTAAAAATAATTTTCCTTCTAGGAATTTACCATATGGAAACAATCTGAAATACGAACAAAGGTTAATAATCAAGGCTGTTATTTATAACAATGAAAACTGAAAATGTCCTCTACCCTGGATAGAGAGTAATTACAGAAAGTTAGATAAATTATATCATATTCTCTCAGTGGAATGTGGGAACCATAATGGTGTTTACAAGGAGCATATAATAACATCTAGACATATTTCTGTCATATGTTAAATGCAAAGAAACAGGATTCATAAATTAAATAGGCAGCATGTTTTCAGCAATATAAAAAATTTAAAAATTTTCTTAATATGAAAACAGAAGGCAATATAGCAAAAAATATTAAAAGTGATTATGTTTTTTTTCTAATTTTCTATCTTTAAAATGCTTTTCTTTAATGAAAATGTTACCCTTGTAATAATGAAAACTTAAAGGAGGAAATCTTTAGAAAGATTGCTAGCGAAAAATAAGCTATAATTTTGGGAACTGTGACATGTTATAAGCTTGGAATGTTCTGGTCTACAGTAATAAATATTGGAAAATGGCATTGGTTGATAACAGTGTGTCAGTGTTTCTATAGAAACACCTGAGGAAGAGGTTGTTTTGAGTATAGTGACAAATACCGATTATGTAAGGTAGAACTATCATGTCCCTAGATTGGGGAAAGAAAGCATGAAGAATGATATTTCATTGACAGAGTTATCCTTTTGACAATACTTAATTCCCTGTTTCTGATACACTAAGACATTTTCAAAGCTCTAATTCGTCTCTTGAGTGGATCTTACTTTGGAGGAAAACGATGCCTGGTTATCGACGGCCGGCCCAAATAACTTAGCCAGGTTTGTAAACCACTGAGGACGAACTGTCAGCCCGATGTTTGCATCCATACCCTCTTATCGGAGCGAGACAGCTATACAGAGTTCGCCTCTGGCTGAATCCACAGCATCAATTTGCTGGACCTATGAACCCGGGGACCACAAACTCTTCCAAAATAACTAGAGTGTACTATAAATGAGCAGGCAAAAGCCGTAAAAATTGTCCCGACACCTTTCTTTTGTTAACAGTAGCAGAAAATTAAGATAAGTGTTCAGTTTATGTCAATTATGTCCTGAGCTCCTAGGGTGTGGCTTTTCTGAATGCTATATTGAGACTATGGAAAGTTCACGCTCACCAATGCTTTGTCCGTCGTCCCAGAACATTTGACCTTCAGCTGTGCCACTGTCATCCAAAGCAACAGTCAATCCCATAAACTTTTGTCGACTATGAAAAAAAAAAAAGTTATTTTTCTCTAGATCATAGGTTATAAGAACGAAGGATAGCTTCTGTTGAAAATATTATTCATCCAAACAAAAAAAGGTAATGGATTAAAAATGCACATAAAAAAAAAAGCTAATGGAAAACACATTTAAAATTTAATGAAACATTTGGTAAAACTTCAACTTTCAAAATCAAATACACATACTTTACTTATATACATATTATAAGTAATATAAGAAGCTACTTCCTCTTTAAGGAAAAGACCCTCCCCCCGCAAAAAAAAAAAGCATTAAAAAAGCACCCTTCAGTAGCTTCCAGATTGCTACAGAATAAAATGCAACATACTTATCCCAGCATTCAAAACTCTCCATGACCTGACCCTAATCTGCTTGAATTTTATTTATTTTTATCCCTCTCACTTCTCTATGCTCCGGTTAAACTGAATGGTTTTCTATTCCTCAAAGCCGACTCAACTTTTCATCTTTAGTTCTTTCACCCTCCGAGAATATCTC